CTCAGCTGAGGTTTCTCGGGGGCGACCGCCCGCCCCGGGTGTGCACCGTGTCCGGCTGTCAGCTCGACTGACGGCACCGCGGGCGCTGCGTCCCCAAGCGCCCCCCGGCCTAAACCCGGCGCCTCCCTGGGGCTGCCGAGAGGACCCCACCCCGTGACGGGACGCGCTGGCCAGCCGGTGGCCCGGCCCTGCCTCCCCCAGTGCTGGCGTGACGGGCTCCTGGGCAGGGCTCCGTCCTGACAGGCCCAGGAGGTCCGCGGAGGCTTCCCAGGGAGGCCGCTGCCCCGGACAGAGGCCCTGCTGGGCCGGGAGTCTGGGCACAGGCCGGTCGGCCACTCAGGTGCAGTAGGGCAGGTGGGGGGGGCCTCCCGCAGGCCTGCCCGGCCGTGACCGTCTTGCCAGGGACCTGAGTGCTGACAGGCACCTCTGTGGGACGCTTCATGCAGATCTTAGGGTCCCGCGTTAGACCCCACAGCTCGGGAGCGAAGCACCCGCTTCGCCCCGGGCGGGGACCCCAGGGACGGGGTGGCCTCCCAGCCGAGGGCCAGAGGCCCAGCCGGCCCTCACGCTCGGCGCCCAGCAGCTCGGGTCAGGCTCCCGCCGTGGCTTTTCCAGGACCCAAAATTCTGTGCTAAAAACAGATTTCCGGGAGAAGTTTCTCCTCAGAAGGGAAAGCGCCACTTGCCAACGCGCGGGTCACAAGACTCCAGTGTCCCAGTGCCCCTCACGACATGGGCGCGACTGGCGGCCTGAGGGCGTAACCGGCCTGTGACGGGCGGGGAAGTCTGCATCGTCTGTGCGCCTGTCGGTGTGCCTGACTGTCCCTGAGTGTCCGTGTCTCTGTCCGTGCGTCTGTGTGTCTCCTGTGTACGTGTTAGGGTGTGTGATGTTTTCTGCCAGCGGAAAGCACTGTTGAGATTAATTTGTATTTCACCGGCGTGTAATAAATGTCCACATAAGTTTTTTTCAGGTTCACATGCTCTTAGCAAGTCTTTGGGGCCTCTGGGGGTGCCGGGGTCAGTCTCAGGGAGTGACCCATGGGCGTGCTGACCCCCGTCTCCCGGCTGCCCCCTCGGCGGGGGGTCTCAGCGGACCCACCTGTTCTGCTCCCCTCTGTCTCTGCGGAGTGGTCTGCCCCCTCCCGGCACACTCACCCCTGACCTCTGCCCTGCACCCCAGCTCTTGTAGGCATAAATAAGACACGTCTCTAACGCCCTTGCAGCTCACCGGGGTTCGGCGGTAGCGTGGGGGGGGTGAGGAGCGGGGCTCACCTGGCCGGGACGTGATGACGAGGGTCCGGTCATCCAGCGTCTTTATCGTCCTCTTAAAGCCACAGAGGGCTTCAGAAAGCTGGACTCTCATTTTCGTGATCAGGTCGTGGCCTCGCCTCTGAAAGACACTATGGTCCTTCTGATCAAGCACAATTATCACATCGCCCGGCTCCAGCTCGGGCTCCTGGTCGCCTTCTCCGTGAAACACAATCTTCTGCCCGTCCTTCATCCCTACGGAACAGCAGCCCCCCCGGTTAGCCGAGACCTGGTCGACGCGGCTGCGGGGCGGCCCTGGGGGGGGCGCGGCTGTGCCTTAAAACAAGCAGCCCTGGACGTGCTGGGCCGTCTGGGGTGCGGATGTGCCCGCACCAGTCTCCCTTCAAGCTCCCGCGGGCACGCAGCTGAGAGCGCACACTTCCCGGGGAACAGCGGGCACGGAGGTGGGAAGCGCCCTCCGGGGGTCGCTGGGGGTCGCTGGGCCTCGGGGCAGCCTCACCTCTCTCCACGTGCACCTCGATGAGCTTCTTCTCACGGGTCACCCTGGCGCCCCCGCAGCCCTCGCAGCGGTCCTTGGGGCTGATGCGCTCGCCGCGGCCCTTGCACTCCAGGCACACGGTCTGGATCTGCTGCACCACGCCGGGCCCGATCTGCTGCACGTGCGCCTGCACGCCCCGGCCGCGGCACAGCGGGCACTTCTCCTCCGACCCCTTCTTCCCGCCGACGCCTGGGGGCGAGCGGGAGCCTGGGGCACGGCGGCTCGCAGGCCACCGGGGCCGTGGCTCGCCCACCCGGGGG